CCCTACAAGGAGAGGGTTATGTTTATAAATTTTTTACTTCTAATACATAGTGTATTAAAAATTGAAATTTAAGGGTTCTGGCTGCAGTTGCTACGATGGCTGGAACAGCAACTCCAACTCTGTCAAATGAACAAGTTGACAAAATTTCCCTTAAAGTTTTGGTGGACAAAGAGAAAAACAAAGTTGTGTTTGCTGAGGCAAGAAAGGATTTCGTTGACGCTCTCTTGAGCTTCTTAACATTGCCTTTGGGAACTATTGTTAGACTCGTTGGTAAGGAGTCAAATATTCAACCAGTGAGAATTGGCAGCCTCAGCTCATTGTATCAAAGTGTGGCAGATCTTGAAGAAGAGCATCTATGGACTCCGACCTGCAAAGAAATGTTACTGCAGCCAAGTAACTCAATGGATGCTTATTGCCAACAGATGAAACTGAGTATCGACGACACAGACCCCATCAAGCTCTTCCTTTGTGAGAGCTGGGCTTGTAGTAGAAAGAATAGTGGGAGCTTATTGAGCACTTTCAGGAATCAAAGATGCCAATGTGGAAAATTAATGAACAGAATAATATCCCCAGAAAATTATACTCTAGAAAATGGCTTTGTCAACGAAAGTGCGACTTTTATCATTTGTGACGATCTTTCCTTGTTCCCTAACGTTGTTGGAACAATAGAACTGCTTCAGAAGCATGGTATCGATAACATGGAGTCTCTTGAGGAACAAACTGTAGATATCAGCAAGAAAGAGGTATGTTTTCTCAGCTTGTATATCATCATTGCCGTTGATGACTATTTATTTTCTATAATTGGTAAGTCAATTTTGATTTATGTAGGTAGTGGATCTGCTCAAGTTTGCATTGCTCTCAAATACCCCTATGACCGATTTTATCTTAAAGAAGGAACAATACCTTGATAATTTTAACCGAGGAAACCAATCCCAGTTTAAGATTGGGGAGATCCCATCTGATAATGGTCGGCAAATAGTTGTGAAATTAGCGGTAAGAAAATCAAACGGCAAAATTCTGTTTGCTGAAGGAGAGGAAGATTTTGCTGACTTTCTTTTTGGTTTTCTCACCTTCCCCTTGGGTGGAGTGGTACACATGCTCCAAGGATACTCTTCTTTGAGCTGCGTTGATAAATTATATAAGAGTATCACTGAATTGAGTTCAGAAAGATATTTCACCTCACAGGGACTCAAAGACAAACTAGCTAATCCTCAGTGTGCCCCTCAATTTAAGCCCAGCAACCACATTTTACTAATTAACGAGGCATGCTTTCCTCGGTATTATTTCTTTAGTTACTACAGTGGGGGATATCATGGGGCTCTTGTAACTTCACCCGGCAACGATCGTTTTTCTTATGAAGATGTGTATGCACCCTTGACATATGTCGATCTTAAGTCCTCTACCGGAGAATCATCAAGTGGTCGAGGATTTGCCAAAGGACCATCAACGTACATGGTGACAGATGACTTGGTTGTGATTCCAAAGTCATCCATTTCTGTTTTTCCTTATCTAAATAGATCAAAAGTCTCACTCTCTGATGTGGAGGAAAGGGTCATCAGCATTGGTCTGAAGGAGGTAAGGAAGTGTTCGAGACTTCTTTTAGCTTTAGTCATTCATTGGATACTGTTACTTATATGAAATTACATCCATCTTATTGGTTGCACTGTGCAGGGTCTTGCCATACTAAAATCTTCGTTGATCTCAACTTCTGCTTTGACAAACGGTCTCTCCCAGTTTCTAAAATCTGTTAAGGAGGAGAATTGACCAGTTTTTCATTTTGTCTGAAATTATAGAAATCGTGGATGTCGAAAAGTTGGTGTTTATTTCCCTAGTCGTTCTAATTAATGTGATGCTTGTGATTAGTTGATGGACACTGTTTCGTCAAATTTTGTGTTTCATGTAAAATGTTCTTAAATCAGAAGTGGTTTCTTTTCTTTATCGATATTTTTCTGTTATTTGGGTAAGCATTCTCTCTCGTAAGTACTAGTTCTCTTTTCTCTAGTTCTCTTTTCTCCAAATAACGAGTGATAGTCACCTGAGCGACATTGACATATGTTAAAATAATTGAAAAGCGGCAAAATTAACAAGGATCTTTCTATTTCCTGTCTTTGAAACTGATTTCATTTAATTATTTTACAAATTTAAAATATAAAAGTTGTTGGAATTTTGCTTTGAGAATAAATTTTGAAGATGTAAATTACTATTGGTATTTGAAGTGAGTGGAGAATCTAAGAAAAAAGTTTTAAAAAAATAAAACAACTAGTTCTCCTTTTCTAATTTTAGAATAAATACCTATAAAACAATTTTTCAAACAATATAAACGACGATGCTAATTAAGAGCCAAAAAATATATCAAAAAAGTATTTGTAATTTTTTAGGAGGATGGTTATATTTACAACCTAAATAATTTACATAAATAAATTAGGAGCAAAAAAATATATCAAAAAAGTAATTATATTTTTTTAGAAGGATGGTTATATTTACAACTTACAAACTCTTAAATTCTATTAACTATTGTTAGATTAATTTATTCATCAACACTCCATAATGTTGTTAGATTTATTTATTCATCAACACTCCATAATGTTGTGATTAATATTTCAATTTCTCTTTCTCACATCTCTTACCCTCTCCCTCTTCTTCTATCTATCTACAAACCTTCTTTCTCCCTTCTTCTCTCTCTATTATTATCGTCATTCTGGAAGACCAAAGCGCAAGACAACTGGAAGTGAGAGTAGTGAATCTAAAAAATAGTTTTAAAAAATAAAAATAACTGAAATCTATTCTCAATTTCTATTTTAAGAACTAATTATTCAGAATAACTACATTTATAACAAGCTATCAAACAACTTTTATTATGTTTTAGCTTTAAAATTTCAAGAAACAGCTAGAAGTTAAAAAAGGCCTAAGTTTGTGCCTATTTTTTGTTTTTGTTATACATCCACGATTTATTCGTTACCCGTGACTGAAGCACAGCCGGAACACTTTTTTTTTATAAGTTCACTATAGTTGTAGCTATAAAAGTTTCATTCTTGTTTGATTGAATACTAAAATTAAACACTAAATTGATATTAAATTCTAATTTATAATTTGGCATCTTGAGACATTTAAGAAACAGTAAAATATTTTTATAAAAGAAAAATTTAAAAATATGCGTTATATATTAATTAAATTATTAAATAGAATATTATTTAGAAAGTGAACTTAAATCTCGGGACATTGACCAAATTGATACAATTCCCCATATTTTTTACCGGTATGCCTTCCAATTTTTTGTCAAAATGTCATGGTGACAAATCCGTTTCAAAGTCCATATGGCATGCAACCAAGCATAGACACTTGTAAAATCAGGAAGAGTCGTGTCCGACACGTTCTGACACGGCGAAACACTCTGACACGCTCCGACACGGTGCCGGACACGCTGTCAACTTTTTCCGACACTTTGACCATTCTGACACGCGAATTTGACCGTGTTCGACACGGTCAAATGGCATTTTCGTAAATTTTTTTTATTTTTTTGTAATTTTTTTTTTGAAAAAAATTATTTTTTTAAAAAATTAAAATATATTAATAAAGCTTCTTCCTGATCATATCAATTTTATTTTTTTGTCTTTTTTCCCGTTAAGTAGATAAGAGATCGTCTCAGCATCATTGTTGTCAATTCCTATCACGCTCTTGTTGTATCTCCTTCTCTCTGATCTCTCTCTCTCATATGATTTGATTTCTCTATTTGATATTATATCATCTCTCTCTCATCCCAGTTCTTATTTTTTTTTATTAAAGCTTCCATCTTTATAACGTGTTGATGGGTATTATTAATGAGGACCGATATACTAACTACCGTGATTTTTTACTACCAGTTACTACTTTGTTAATCACCGTTAGATTATCATATTAATAAACGGTTATTATTAGTTTTAAATTTTCGACAATCTCTCTCTTCTTTCTCAGCTTTCTCTTCTTCTCACTCTCTTTAGTTTTCATTTTCTTTTTATGCTTTAACTCTGCTCCGTCACCAGCCCAATCCGCACCGCTCTCTTTTTATGTTTCCTGAAGACAACAGTTACCCAAATCATACAAAACCAATTATTTAAAAATCCAAGGCTTAAAGAACGCAAGAACACAAGTGGAAGAGAGTAATCTGAAACTGAAGTAGAAGCTAGGTTTGGGAGTTGGACACGACAACATTGCACTTGGACTCTCGCGAATGAAGTTTTCTCTGTCTTTCGAAACTTGAAAAAGGTGTCTATATTTTTTTTCTTTAGTTATCTCTGACTTGTTTGTTCACTTTGCTTGAGCTTCTCACTAGTCACTATTTTACTTCCTCGACTTCATAAAGGGTTCAATTTCAGTTGGGACCTTGTTCTAGTAATCATTGCTAACCCTGTTGCACTTTCGAAATATTTTTTAGTTCAATTTCCTTCAGTTTTTCTTTGGCCGCCCTCTGACTCTGCTCCGTCACCAGCCCAACCGCACCACCTTGTTGTGCTCATATTCTCCATTTGATTTTGGGAGAGTGTTTTTGTTTTTGTATTTGGCATTTCAATTCATTCTTCCAAGATGGGTTTTTAAATTTTGCAGAATTTTGTGTTTGTACATCTCTTAAGCATTTGATTTTAATTTTCTGGTTTTAATATGCTCAAGCAATGGTCAGTTGAAGACAGAGAAAAGAGAAATGTAGTTGAAGGTAAACTTTTACAGTTGCATTTTGGGAGCTCGAATCTCCAATCTGCAAAGGTTAGTTTTTTATTTTTATTTTTTAAATTTTGTTCTTTCTTTCCTTTTAGAATTTTGTTAAATTTTTTGTTTGCTTGCGATATGAATCCATCTTTCTAAATATTCTTAATTCATTCAATCAGCTTAAAATCATTGGTCTATCTAGCTACAGTGTCGCACATTGCATTATTTTCGTTTCTATAAATACTGATTTTGTTTTTTTTTTTTTTTTCATTTTCAATTTCGATTATCAATTATTTGAGGTATCTGGCGACCTTGGAAGCATGGATGAAGATGTAATAAATTCTGCAAACTTCAATGAGAATGAAGATGACATGCTTGATAAACTGGGAGATGACATATTGAATGAACCAATTAACAATATGTCAAATAGTGTTGTGTTGACGCCGACAAAGAATATTGATTGTTTGATTGAGGTTGGAATGGAATTTTCTGAACGAAAGGATATATTAGACTTGTTCACAACATTTGCTAGGACAAGAGGTTTTGGAGTTCGGGTTAGAACAACTAAGAAGAACTACATGAAGGTAACATGTGCTAGAGAGGGTTTTGCAGAATCAAAAAAAAAAAGTGTTGATCAAGTTTCTCACGGTAATTTGATAAAGAGGACATCATCAGCACGCATAGGGTGTGAAGCTTGTATTAAGGCTTGTACAAATGAAAAAATAAAATTGTGGAGAATTACATATTTTTCTGACAACCATAATCATGGTTTGGTTTCTCCAATGAGTGTTTCATATCTGAGATCACACAAAAAAATGCTTGCTGCTGCAAAATCCTTGATAGAAAAATTCAATGATTCGGGTTTGCCCATCGGAAAGGTTGCCACTATCCTTAGAGGCAATGATGTATTGTTTGATAGTCGAGATTGTTATAATCATATGAAAAATGTGAGAAAAAAAAAATGATGCAGGGGATGCACAAGCTGTGTTACATTATTGTGTTAAACAAAAGACATTGAATCCAAAATTTGTTTATTCCATCAAGTGTGATGAAGATGATCGCATGGAAAGCTTTTTTTGGATTGATGCAAGGTCTAGGCAGGTTTATGAGCTTTTTGGGGATGTCATCACCTTCGACACAACATATAGGACTAATAAGTATTCCATGCCATTTGGACCTTTTGTTGGGATAAATAATCATTTGCAGTCAATCTTGTTCGGATGTGCTCTATTAAAAGATGAAATCGAGCAAACTGTTGTTTGGCTATTTGAGGAATGGCTTCGAGCAATGAATGGGAAACATCCGATTGCTATAATTACTGACCAAGTACATTCAATTTAATTTCATTTTATTGAGTTGTTTCATACATTACTGATTGCATACTTACACGTGTTATTGAATTTGTAGGACATGGCAATTACCAATGCGGTATCCAAAGTTTTTCCAAAAGCCAAACATCGATTTTGTTAGTGGCATATTATGAAAAAATTTCCAAAGAAGTTTTCCCATGTTTATCATGAGAATGCATCTTTTGGTAATCAAATACATCAGTGTGTTTGGAACTCCAAAAACACTGAAGACTTTGATGATAGATGGAATCATATTCTTGTTAAGTATGGTCTTGATGGAAATGAGTGATTGCATACATTATATTCAATTAGATCCTCTTGGGTACCAATATTTAACAGGTCCACTTTCTTTGCTGGTATGAACACTACGCAGCGGAGTGAAAGTATAAATTCATTCTTTGATGGTTTTGTTACAGCTGGTACAACATTAAAAGAATTTGTGGAGAAATATAATCAAGCTGTAGATACTCGCTACGAGTCTTTCAGAAGGGAAAACTTTGAATCTATGCACAAAGAAAGGCGTTTGGTATTGAATATGCCATTGGAGAGACATGCAGCTAAAGAATATACCTCTAATATTTTTGACAAGTTCAGCAAAGAGCTGTGTGATAGTTTACAATACTCTACGGAGAAACTTGGAAATGACGGAGAATGGGTTACCTATAGAGTTTTTAATATGGAAGATATAGAAAATTCTGCAACAGTGGAGATAAAGGTGGATGATAAAGAAGCTAGGTGTTCTTGTCAATATTTTGAATTCATGGGAATCCTATGTAAGCATATTCTTGTTATTCTGTTTGTTGAAGGTGTTTATCAAATTCCTGAGCAATTCATTTTGCGTCGTTGGAGCAAGGAAAGAAATTATATACTAAGTTCATACAACGACACATGTTTTTCTCCTGGAGATGGACTCCTTCAGAACCTTCAGCTAAGCTCTAAATTGTCTAGACTTGCTGAGCTTGCAAAAAGGTCACACAAGGCATTTAGAATCATTGATGATGGTGTTGACGCTCTTACTGCGTTTGCAGAAAAGTGTTTAATATCTGAGGAGAGTGAGGGTCTGGAGGATTTCAACTTACATTCTTTGGATTCTCAACTCGAAGAGTCTTCCATTATGAACTTGAAGATCCTAACATTTCACAAACTAAAGGCCGTAAAAGGATTCAAAGTGGGATTGAAGAAGAATCAAAGCATACTAATATATATGGACATTGCAAGAAACGAGGACATAATAAGCGTACATGCAAAGAAAAAAATGGAACTGATGTTGAAGTTAAACTTTTATAGTATTTTGATGTTAAAGTTAAGTTTTGGCTGCAAGATACAAGCACATCATGGTAAATGATATTCAAAAAGAATTTTTTAGAGAAACACATGTTAAATGACTTTATTGGTTCTTTGTTAAATTCTTGGACATTTTTATTAAATCTTTAAATTTATTATTGTACAGAACTTTCTTTTGGACATAAAAGGACCAACTATAGCATTTTTGCCGGTGCTTGCATTTGAAGGGGGAACTAGAAGCAATATAATTTTGAGGTGTGCATAAATTATGTTTGTATGCTAAACTACCATGTAGCTTATGTATGTTTGCTGAGATGCAAAGCTGTTCATTTTTACCCTCTTTTGATTTTGTTGGCAGACTAGCATTTGCTTGTCATTCCTTTCTTGGTGATAAATGATGTTTGGTCTATTTGGTCTATCATATTTTTCTAGGTTGTGTTTTCTTTTGCCTAATGCTTCATCTTGCAGGTAGGTACTTTGCTTTATGTAAATTCAAAGATTTTTTGACAGATTTAACTATTTGACTTTTATTTCTTTTTGTGTTTGTTTAACTAGTGGGAAAGAAGCAAAATTTGGTGCCTTAAAAGATGGCCATATGTTTGAGTGTACAACTGGTCTCTCAAGGATGTATGGAATTTATCTTTTGTTGTCCATGCATACTGTTATCAGATCTTGACATGAGAGACTCAGTGTTGTTTGTAGGCTTCTCAACTCACCCACGTATTCAGTACTTGATGCTTTTGGGAAGAAACTGTTAAAGTTTTTGTATTATGTACAGTATATACATTTATATGGTGCCACTGTTTTTGTATAGATAAAGTGGTGGATGAAGTTTGTATTATGAATGACTTCCAATGGATAATGCAGTCGTTGCTTATGTAAATTTATTTTTTGTAGATGCTGAATTATGTGCTGTTCTCCACTATTTTTTATAGCATTTGATTCTTATTATTTTATCCAATACAGAGATGAAATTAAATGAAATGAATCATAATATCCAATACAGAGATGAAATTAAATGAAATGAGTCATAATATCATTGTAACAATCTCATTAACAATAACAATTTTGAATTACAATATTTGAATAAATAAAAATTACATTTGATAAATAACATTGAATCTCATTGGTTGTCCATAAATCCACTAAATCTGTTTCAACAATTAGCCATATGCATATGAAAAAAATAGCCATGTGACTCTCCAAATAACAATCAGCTTTGTGCATATCCAAAATCAGCCATGTGCATCTCCAGAAATAACCATGTGCATCTCAAAAAATCAGCCATGTGTAGCACATAACTACTGTAGGAGTGTAGCCATGGAATTTTGAATTACTCTTTGCAAAGAAGTAATACAATTCCGGCAATCAGATTCAACAAAAATGTGATAGAAACTATAGTCCCTCAATAAAGTTGCCCCAACAGCAAGCTAGCTGCTTTAGCACCTGAGACATCCATATTTTCAGTGAGCTTCCATGATGCATCAGCCCTAATAAGACCTCTTTCATCTTTTGATATAGCAGCGTCTGTATTTAGCTTATACCATCTTTACTGCAGGTTTTGCCAGACTTGAGGGGAACCATTATTTGGAGTATCTGATCTCAACTAATGACCAGCTACCTTAGAACTTTCCTGTTGATATTCTTAGAGTAAGCAAGACTCATGAGTAATATACCTACACCAAGACCCAAAAAGTTCAATGCATACCTGTGAAACAGACAAGGATAACAGATAAGTTAACTGTAGCGTAAAAGAAAGTAGGGGAAAAAGTTGACTGGGCCATAAGCAGTTGCTGAGATAAAATTGACAAAAATTACAACAAAAGACTCAGATCAAGCCTCAATAATAACTGAGCATAGAGCAGCAAAAACTGAAAGATCTCACTATTCACTACACATTTCTTCATTCAGATTATTTAACTTTTGCATCACTTCACAAGATAAAACAAAAAGAATGGAGATTTAGCCATCAATTTGCCACATTTGTAAAAGGAAGAATCCAGAGTGCAAAAGTAAGATGTTGTATTTTTCTTGGATTATGATACACAGAAAGAACAAAATGCATGGAAGACCAACTACATAGCAATTCTTCTCATATATGCAGGGACGAGAAAATAAAACAAGCAAACATAGTAGGTTGCCATGTAGTCACTTCAAAGTAAGAGATATCAATAGCAAGTGTCCTTATTGTCCACCTCGTGAGTCGTGACTGCTTTTCCTAAAATTATAACAGATTCACTCTTCAAAATCCATAAAAGAAATCAATCTTTTGAAATAATTAAGCTGTAATACCATAATGACAATCTTCATACTTAAATTAGAGTATTAAACAAGTTGAACCTAAGAAATTAACCGAGTTTGACTATTTTTCTTGTGAGAAGCCATTTTGACTGTAACCTGATTTATAGTGAGAAGCAAGATATAAATATGATGGACCTAGAAAGTAGGAGTAGGGTATCTTATTACTAAATCACGTATTCCAGCTCTCACGTATTGACTCCAAATTAAATACAAAATTTTCAGACATCACTTCCTATCCATCAATAACATATGGAAGTGAAAATAAATTTCCAGTGTACCAAGTGAGTGATGTGACCTTGAGAAATGAATGTAGTTAGTTTATCACTTGTCTGGTTAATATAGCTAGAGGCTAAAAGTCCACTCACTGCACGCAGATAACAGAAAAAGAAGAGAGACGGGGCTGGAGATGAATATGAGATTGAACTTTTATGGAAAGCTTGACTAAGAAAAGAAACTATAATAGACAGCATTTGAGTAAGAGAAACAGAATACGAGCATGCTTGGTTGAGCTAAAAATATACAGGTGAAAATTTTAGAATGAAAATTAATTAACACATAATTAGTACCACAAAAGTGTGGGATAGTACAAATTGGAGTGCAATCCTTTTTCATACCACCATATTTGTTCCATAACCAATAAATAATCCCATAGTATGAAAGTGAGCTAAACTAAAAGTACTTGTCCATCCATTGAAACCTTTCCATCTCACTTGATTTTCCCTCTCCTCTCTATTTTCCAGATTAAATAGTTACCAAATACCAATATACAATCAGTTAAAAACATATATATCGAATTAGCCTAGAGCGACAACATTAATATTAGAATAAAATAATTAAAAAGGAGACTGGAAAGCTAATTCTGAATTATTTGCACGTACTTAAGAACTTGGCTAAAAAAATGATTCCAGCAACTTAAAAAGTTTGCTAATAAATAATTTCAACATCAACCAGACCAGTATACAGATTGCGGCCTTAGGGCACCTGAAAAAAATTTCAAAAGGTAGCAAAATGTCTAAAATGAACCGATTAAAAGAAGTTCAAAATGAAAGAGAAGCAAAGAAAATAAATACAGCATGAAACAACAAACCTCTGAAGCCCCATCCTACCCCGAAACCGCAACCTACACCGAAACCTGAAAAACAAATATAAGCGTCAGATAGAAATCTGACATTTCGAATATGCAGAAATCATGGCACCCAAATCAGCATACCAAAATGGCACCCAAATCAGCATACCAAATCTGACATTTCGAATATGCAGAAATCGTGTCCAACTCCCAAATCTAGCTTCCACTTCAGTTCCGGATTACTCTCTTCCACTTGCGTTCTTTAAGCCTTGGATTTTTAAATAATTGGTTTTGAATGATTTGGGTAACTGTCTTCAGGAAACATAAAAAGAGGGCGGTGTGGTTGGGCTGGTGACGGAGCAGAGTCGAAGCATAAAAAGAGAATGAAAACTAAAGAGGGTAGGAAGAAGAGAAAGCTGAGAAAGAAGAAAGAAGAAAGAAGAAAGAAGAGAGAGATTGTCGAAAATTTAAAACTAACAATAACCGTTGATTAATATGATAATCTAACGGTAATTAACAAAGTAGTAACTGGTAGTAAAAAACCACGGTAGTTAGTATATCGGTCCTCATTATTAATTTAGTTTTATTTTTTTATTAAATTATTAAATATTAAATGAAATATACACTATATAAATTAAAATTATTATTTAATAGGGTTCACTTTTTCTGCAGTTATTACAGATAAGTTATCTGCAGTAAGCTCAATACGACGTTGTTTTGGGACGGAAATCATGGTGTTTTTGTAATTTTAATTTATTTCAGGGTTATAATAGTTTTTATATTTATAATTTTTTAAGATTTCAATACCAAAACGATGTCGTTTTGGGAATAAATGCAGATAACTTATCTGCAGTAACTGTAGAAATATTTTTTCCTATTTAATATTAAAACGTGTCCCAACGTGTCAAAATCCATAATTTTTTAAGATTGACGTGTCAGAATGTCGTGTCATATCATGTCACATGTTGTGTGTCGTATCGATGCTACGTAGCATGCAATCTTAGGCCACCAAACCCGCAATATGTGACAGTGGGTTTGAGTAATCAAACAAGTCAGTCTTCTTTCTAAACTAGAGACGTTCGTTTCAATGGCAACGAGTTTCTTGTCAGACCAATCAATCACTTTTCTCCATGTGGGACACGTATCAGCTTCGTAGAGTCTCGCTATTAAGGGAAGCGAATTTTTTACACGTGTAACCTGCGGCACCCTACTCCATCTTTTCAAAAAATCTATTTCTCTCTCTACAAATTTTTCTCTCTCTAAAATATTTCTCTTTCTCTCTCTAAATGTTAGTTTCTCTATTATTTTAATATTATTTAATGTTAGTTTCTCCGTTGTTTTAATATTATTTGTATTTTTTAGTTATACATTAATGGTGTAGATTAGAATTTGAAACCCTAAGATAGTTGACATATATTTTTTTGTTTTATGAGTTAGTGTGGGACATAAACCTTATGATAGTTGACATTAATATTGTTACTTAAATTAATAACTATAAATTTATAATTAATATAATTTAATTATTTTTTGTTATATATTTTAACATTATAGTAATTAAATTAATCATCAACCGAGGCTGAAAACCTACGTAATATAGTAAAATTGTTTATAAAATTAGTAAGTAAAAATTATTTATCTTTAAATTCTTATTAAATTAAATTTATGATACATTTTAAATTAAGTTCAAAATAAATATACTATTATATATTTTATTTCAAAAAAAAAATAATTTATTTCATAGAATTTCATTAAAAATCTTGCTATTTTACTGTAGCAAAAGGTTTTGAAGGCATAAAGTGGTGAAGGTTGGAAATCCAATTAGTATATGTCCCTTTTTGAAAACTTAAGGACTAAGGTTTCGCTTTGCGATTCAACTTATTCAAATTATTACAGTGGTCAATGTCTCCCTTTGTGTGTCATCAGCTTTTGAATTAAAGGTGTGATTCAAAGGTTGTTTGCGAGGAATGAATCCAGTCATCAAATTTTGGCTTAACCGGTACAAAATTAGACCCCGTAGGAATTTGCCATGGGAGAAAAAATCACATGCGTTGGTTTCCTTAAGGAAGAGGATTCCAGCTTTAAATCAACTAGGTGATCCTGTGATCCACAATTTGCCAACATTGGAAAATTCATCTTGACCATCAAACATGGGCTGGTGACATTATGTAGCTATTCCTTTTCAAAAATGTATTTGATGAGAATCAAATTTATTTGGGTAAGCTGTATTTCATTTAACACTTGAGGATACTACAACAAATATTTACGCAACAGCTTCTCAGTCCTGACAAAGTTTTTTATTTTAGTTTTTG